TAAATAAAAAAAATTAAAAAAAAAGCCAGCCGTTGAGACATTCACCGCTCGCTCGCTGTCGGGTATAACCCGGTCCCTCCGCCGCGCGCTTGTACCACACACAGACTGTGCACTGACACGAGGACCCGACTGCCGAGAGAGAGAGAGAGAGCGCGAGGGGGCCGTGCACCAACCAATCGGCGTTCTCAGAACGAGTTTAGCGGCGGTGGCCAATCACAGCGCGGCATCCCCCACGTGGGGGTGTCCGGCGCCCTCGCGTTCTGATTGGCGCCGCGCACTGTGACGCAGTGGTCGTTCGCCATTTTGGATTCGAAGTGACGTTCTGTGCGTTCAACAGCTTGTTCAAAACAAAGACAATAATTTATAAACCCGCGCGTTTAAAGCCGGTTTAAAGCGTTTTATAGTGTGAGGATACACCTGCGAGTGCAGGCATTCAGAAATGTGTCTTTTCAAACACGATATGCCGGTTGTAAACTGGAAAAATAACCACTGAGTAGACATGAGTTATCGTTTTTAATACAAGCATCAGGGTGTAAAACTATGTGCTTAATATACAACCACACGTGGAAAAAAATGTGACCCCGCACAATAGCTTTAAGTTTTGGAACCGGAAGATCACACTTTTTCTTGCTCTCGATCCAAAAAGAGAGAGAGAGACAGAGAAAGAGAGGGGGAAGACACGCCAAGAAAAAGAAATAAGTCCGGCCACAATGCCAAGAAAAATGGGAGTTCATAGAAATTAATTCAAGGCCCGGGAGTGCGCAGGAAACGTGAACACCGCTTAATCTACAGCAGAGTGTCCTTTGAGTGACTTGAATTCATCGACCTATTTCTAACGAGACCTCAAGCATCTACAAGCTTTCCTATCAGCAGCACTAGGTGGGCTACAACACGTCTGCAGCGTGAGGATATCAGCCTATCAAGCGCTGCTCACCACGGCCCGGCCCGGCCCCCCCCACGTGGGGTCCCCTCCAACCACCACCCCTCCTCCTTCTTCTCCCGCTCCTCAGCCAATGGCGTCGCAGCTGTCTGCCTGCGCCGGCTTGTGATTGGCGGAGCCGCGGAGGAGCTGTCAGTCAGGAGCAGGAGTTGTCAATTAAACCCACGTTGGGTCACGGCGCTGACAAATGCCTGTGCTACTCTCCCTCCTGCCTGCGAGTAGAGCCGGGAATGGCTGCTTAATTAGCTTCGAATGGCTTTTCCTTTCAGCTCAAACAATCTGTCACTACCATGTGGTAAAAGGAGCCTTGCATAAAACAAAAGCAGGAAAAAAAAATAAAAAAAATAAGCCAGTAGGGGCTAAATATCAGTTTGATTCCCCCCCTGCTCCTCCTCTTCTTCCTCTCTCTTCAACCCCCTCCTGCATGAAAACATTTGCTGCAAAACAAAGCTTTTTTACCTCGCTCCAGCATTCACTCATCTGTTTCTGTCCTCGTCTTCTAAAATTGTGTTTATTTGTTTTGTCTGGGGTGTCCGTTTCATCCCTTCACATTAAATCTGAGGGGTGTGGGGGAGCCTGTGTGAGGTGTTCTTGATTCATTAAGGGTGTTGTTAAATGTTGGGGAGAGTAACTTTAATTGTCTTAAAATAAAGAGACTAATCATTTCAGATGGATTTTTTTAAGTTTAAAATAAATGTATCCCAATCCTCAAGTAAAATGCATGTATGACAGACGTCAACAGGGAAATTAAGAGGAAAACTTATCTACAAATGTAGAATAACAGAAGTAATTAGATTATTAGAAAATGTAAATTATTCGTGAATATCACTTTGCCTAAACTAATAATAAAAAAGCTTTCTTTCTTTATTTATGTTTTTAACACGAGACAGCAAAACTACACCTCAGACTTAAACTCTATGTTACATTATTTATAGCATAACAAAAAGCCCAAAAGTCAAAAAGTACACCACATTTTGAACATGACTGTAGCTAGCATGCTGCGAGCTTTAGCTGTTGCTTAGCAACAAATGTATCCCCTCCTGCAGATGCTCTGACATGAGTTGGGATGATAACTCATGCATTGAGGGCATGTCAGTAAGCTACACACTCGCTGGGAGACTTTAAAGAAGGCTTTTCACACAAAACTTCCCTTAATGATAAATTATCTTTGTAGTAAAAGTTGTAATCACTGTAGTTTGAGTGGGAGCAGACTGCAGACGACAGGAGAAACTAACTTTTTTGTGCTTCTCATAATTCAAGCTTCCTGAGGGAACTTTTTTAGTTCTCTGAGCTGCTCTAACAAACCCTGATGTGCACTGCCCAGGAACGCCATGTTGTTGATATTCACGGTTAGAAATTCAGCCATTATTATTAAACCCATTTACAATTTACACTTCCTGTCATGTTGTGGCATCAGTTCTAATTATGAGTTCAATCATTGGTGAACCTATCTATGATGTCACCAGTTGGCGGCTCGCCTGGTCACACACAATCACATATTACAGATAAACAGTTCACTAAAATATGATTGTGAACCGACTTTAGGTGAGAAATAGGCAACGCAGTAACAGAATTGTGCTTCGTATTTGATCAGCTTTGCCTAGTTTGATGTGAGTTTCGTGCCCTGGACTGACTCACTTAGAGTAACCTGTCAATCATAAGGTAGATACGCAGCTTTATTTTCTATTTTACTCTAAATTGGACCATAATTCACTAAATGAAGATCATAATGTTTGGGAAAAGACTTGAAACTAGTGATTGAGACCAGGAAACTCATTAGGAAACTGTTCACTGAGCTCATAAATCAAATAAGAAGTCGGCACCTTCTCCATTAAAGTGAACGGTATCATTTTTTATTGCAGCCAGTGGAGCTCCCCCTGCTGGCCTTTACAGCTGCCCGTTATATATACTGTCAATGGTACAATGTTAACTTTTCTCTTGAAAATGAAGAACTGTCAGATATCCAAACCACCTTGAAGTGAAACACCAAAATAATGAGTAACGCTGCAAACTGACAACAAACACGTATAGACATTTTGGAAGAATTGTCACATCTTACCAGCAATGCACCTGCATTTCTATGATGTTGTGGTTGGATATAACACAGATAATGTGTAAGCAGGTGCAGAATGGTATAGAGAGACTTCACATATGAGGCTTTAGTATGATGTAACCTTGCCAAAAAATGTAAAGGCTGCACATAAGTTAATGACATAAGACAGGAGATATATTCCAATCTTTAATATGCTTTATATATTTTAATAAAAAAAAATAATGAAACGTTCATTATTGAGTTATTGAAAAATTAATTATCAACTGATCTTTTCTGTAGAGGAAAAAAAAAAGTAACTGAAATAATTTCCTCTCTGTCGCTTCGTTCTTTGACCTTTGACCTTTGACGTACTGCTGAGAGTCTGCAGGGCTGCACGTGTAAGGAAAACGGAGCAAGTCACGAACAGATACACGAATTCAGGTGACAGGAAAAAATCTAAGACGCTCTTAAAAAAAATAAACAGTGGTTTGTTACACAGAACCATCTGGAAGGTCCTCATTGGAAACTGTTTGTAAAAGAGCAGGCACTTTCAAAAACACGCGGCAGGTGACTGGATGAACCAACTGTCTAAAACCGTCAACTATCTACCAATCGGATCAGTGAATATTGATGGATTTGTTTTCAAACGTCCTCAGGTGTTGGATAACTTCTTCAAACAACAACCAGCAGCTTTGTGCTGCTTTGAGTTGGCGAGTTTGAATATATTTGTAATAATCTGGTAGGTTTGGAGACCGTGCTGACTCTGTGGCGTTTTGTGTGGCCTCGGCTGCGTTACCTCTCTCTCTCTCGCTCTCTTTAAGTTGTATATGTGATCTGCTGCTGATGTGTTTTGACTCTTAAGCTGTTGTGGTCTGGGTAAACTAATGTGCTGTTTTAGGACAACTCAGTAAAGTGTGCAGTGTTATTTGGGTGGTCTGTGTTAAGTTTGCCTTGGCCCACCCTGGTTAATGGTCAGCACTTACTTTATCTACAGTTATGGCCTCGCACATGGTGTACTGTCTGCTACATACTTGTTTTTGTGGTGGAGAAAGCTATAAATATTTTCATTTTCAACTCGCTATGAATTATGTCTGTCTCCTGATGTAATATTCCAGGTTTTGTATATTATCTATTTATATATATATAAGCGTGTTTGTCACATTCAGCAAGTCTAATACAGATATGGTGACAGAATGACACAACAATAGAAGACGAGCTTATTTATAAAATGTATAGCAACCATCACTGTCTTATTTCAGGTTTAATATGTACTGAAGCGTAACGTCTGCCTCAAGCAGCATTTACATCAAAGTTTACTTTCTTTAACCGACTTTCACCCAGTGACATAAATCATAAAGCGCAGCGAGCACTGTTGACTGCCATTACAAGTATAAAGCATTTCTTTGTGTCGTTTACAACACTCACACCCTGTGATGGATGTAGTTTTAATAAATAGCATGACTTACAGACAGCTACTGTAAATATGCAAAGTTACATCTAAGTGTTTTCAGCACCACAAACAGCCGACACCGAGAAGCTCTTAATGATGTGCGTGTGCATTCGCTCTTAAGTGCTGCTTTGGGAAGCGTGTGTGTAGAGATTTAAGAGTGTTTGTAGAAAACACT